ATCTTGTTGGCCAGTGATCTCACATTTTCCATTATGATCGATGGAAGAGATGGTTTGAATTCCCTCTTTCTCTGTCTCTGTTTTGCTCCCGCTCTGCACCCACGCTTCTTGCATTTTAGCTCATTTGGGATTTGTGACTTCGGTTGAGGTATTATTTCAGCCTTTCCAATGTTAATCAGCTGCTCCCGATTGTAAACCAGCTTGTTGGCATGGTTATGCATCATTACAAATGCTCAAAAAGTGAAAAAATAGCAGTAAAAACCCTCTAAGCTTCAAAGCACCAGAAACAGAAAGGTAAAATGTAAAAAAAAAAGAAAAACTGTTTTCTTGAGAAACTAGAAGAAAAATGTCCAAGAAAAGGCTAAACTTACATATAGTCAACAGAGCTACTCCCAACATGAAGCCACCCAGAGCAGCGCAGTTCCGGAATTTGAGATGTTTTCCTGCTTGAACACAGCAAGCAGTTAGCAGCTCCTTCAGAAGTCAGTATAGGCTGAGGAGATCATTTAACAGGTAGGATCATGTGTGTTTGAGCTCTGTTAGCACTACAAGGCTATTGACCCTTTGCATGTGATGTCACACCACTCATGGGACCGCCCTCTGAGCCATTACTTATAGTAGAAAGAGTGTTCGCACTGTTGAAACTAGTAAAAACAAGCCAGTTTCATCACTTGTAGTTGATCTGATGGTAAAATGGTAATAATAATGTTTGCTGCACAGTTGGCTGTGCTAACAGACAAGGGTGTAAACTCAACTAGTCTTTTTTAATTAACTGTGATGGAGACTGAGATGACACAGCGATCAGACTAGCAGTCTCAATGTAATTTGGGCTTTGCAGCAAACATGTTTTGCTGGTAAGATTAAAGTGACAACGTGTATTTTCCCTGGCGATAGAGGGCAGTACATACCTGCTGTATGTAAAAAGCTTTTATGAAGGTTTATGGATGGAGAAAGTTTTGTAACCGTTTGTTACTAAGTGCTTTGTCCTCACGGGCTCTGGTAGAAGGAAATATGGTGTTGCCCAGAGACTAAGGGAGTTTCACAATGTCAAGGCGCCTGGCCTTGCGAGGCAATGTCTTGCGAGGCCAGGCGCCTTGCTTACAAGGACACTGTCCTTCCTTGGTCAAAGAAAACGGTTAAATGGAACAGACTTGCATCACGTGACCGCGGCTTCCACAGCGGTCATGTAACGTCACGTGACACTGGAGATAACGTTATATTTTATATGTATTAGTTTCAATATAAATATATAACGAGTTTTTTACTTTTTAAATTGTGCATATATTTATTAAATTTAAAATATAAGCAAGTTACTACCTGCTAGCCACCAAAGCTGCAAGTACTAAGCAACTAACCAACAATAGATAACTTCTTTGGATCTAAAAAAAACATTTAAAATTAGCTGATTTACTTTTAAAATTGAAAATTGTCCCTGAAGTAGCTGCCGGCTTCTGAACCGCCATCATTTTGAAAACACCGCGGTGTATTCTGGGTAATTTTTGACCAAGGCTAGGCTACAAGACACCTCCCATGTATCCTTGCTTAGCTAGCTAAACGGCTAACAAACGGAGAACACACGCCTCTGTAGAACACGAACATTGGAACACGTCTTGGCGGCTCCCGATGACGTATCTCCTAGGCAACCAGGGCGGGGCCAAGACATCAAGGCGAGGTTCCTTGGCATTGAGAAACACCCTAAGGCCTGGAATACTTGCTACAACGCGGCACTGCATGCAGTACTGGAGTGTTCCACCATGGGGCGCACTAGAGAACTCAGACCTGATAGAGAGCCAGGTTTGTGGGTACAACCAAAACAATCATGGCATCAGTAAAAGAGTTCACTAACTAGTTAATTTGGAGATCACGACAGAAAAAAAAGACATCAGCGGCATCTTAGATGGTGTGAAAGTCTTCTGAACCAGAGACGGAGTCACCATGCTGAGTGTGTCTTGCTCGTTTTGTCAACTCTACCTACTGGTTACTCATATATTCCAGCGATCAGACATGTCACGTTAATTTCAGGGGATGCACACAAAGCTTCAAATCAACACAAGTAACGCGTGGCAGCCATTTTAAACATGCATTTGCATCATTAAACAGCAAGTACATCGTGGCCCAAAGAGCCTCTTCCATGTGTTTTAGACCGGATTGGTTATATGTTACAAAGCCGCCAATAATCTTCAATGCCATTTAATTCATTTTCAACAGCATTTTGATGGATAGTTCCAGAGATTAACGCTAAAAACTACACATTTAACGTTCATATATTTTCATAAGGAAGACAGGGACTGACTGAATGTGTGTTACTTATCCTATATTTCACCATGGAGAACGGGTGTTATTCCCCACTGTAGTGAATTACTAGATCATTATTTTTTATGATATTGATCCAGTGTAGGATTTAGAATGATGAGCTTTGTCAGTTGTCTTGTGTCGCCCATGTGAGAGTAGCCGTTTGTAGTCCGCTCCAGTGTAACATGAAACACTGTTTATCAGCAGCAGGGAGAACGTGAGCTAACGTTTATAAGTTAGCTAACACTAAACTTTTGTGAACACCGCTCTCTGAGCCCCACCTCGGTGCACCATTTCTTCTGATAATTGAACCGCTTGAACTAGCCAGGCTACATGTAGCAACAACAACAACAACACAACAATCTGAAATGCTGCTTTCCCTCGTTTACTGTGTTTTTGCCCTCCGATACGGTGGACCCACGTCATCAGGTGATGTAGGTGCAAAGGGTTGTTTTGGGTTCAGTATGAGGCGTGACTTTCAGCTCCTCCGTGAAGGAGGAGCTAAAGCTGTTATCCTCGCCTCCTTGATGAGGTCATGCAACCACCCCAGGTGTATCTGATCAGCATCACAAGTTCTGACGATGTCAAACCTGCTGGTCTCCAACCACCTGAGCCAACGTTCAGAACCGGTGTTCTGACTGTCCATGCCTCCTCGTCGAATCTTCCCACAGCAGCGTCTTACGACAGCTCTGCTCTTGTTTACAGCATGGTAACAGGCTTATTAAAGAGCAAGTCACCCCCTACAAGAAACTTACTCCACTCCCACTTCATGTTTGAAAAATGCAACAAATGCTGTTGCCTAGCAGACCGAGAGGGCGGAGACGCTAACACATACACACACAGGCTCACAACGACATTGTGACATCATGTACCAGTTAACATCATAGCATTCCTCTTAGCCAATAGCGGTGGCAGATTTAAATTCAAATACAGTGGTGAGTTTTTACCTGATGATGGCGCAACACTGTCAGGTTCAGGCAGAATATTTAAATTTTAACTAAGATGCACTAACGTGCCAAATTATTGACTACACATGTCCGCAGTACAATTAGACACTCATTTATACAGTTTATCAGCAAAAAAGTTGATTTGGGGGTGACTTGCTCTTTAAGCACACGTTAAATAGGTGCTCAAGAATCCAGAACTGTAGTAGAATTATTAACAAAAATATACAAAGCTTGTCGTGATTTATTTATGAAAAAGACCGTGGGTGGCATGATTCCGTGAATCCTGTCTTCCGACTCTTGGAGAGTACAGACACTTTTTTCTCCTCTCCCTCCCTCCTCCTCCCAAGGCTCTCTGTCCTGTCTGCCTGTGCTCTGCGCTTTCTGCATTTTTTCTGGAAACTGGAAATTATTAAACATGAATCTGGCCAGTTGGTCTCTCAACGCGATTGACACATTTTTTCAACAATGAGAATGGGAGAAGGGGCTCCCGGATGCCCCTCTAGGACAGAGCCAGCTGGGTATATCATGGACTCCTGGAAACAGCGGAACCTGATCTTCCTCTCAACTAGAGAATTCTGAAGATGTTTGGATATTCGTCGTTTTTGTGTCGGGATTCCTGCTGTTTGCCCTGAGCGGTTAACTGGCATACCGGAAAATTAACAAGCTTTCAAGGAATATTGGCTTAATCCCGGAGCTCAGGGACGGAATGCATCGCGCTGTGAACGCACACTCATATAATTGTCGAGATGAGTCGTACGCTTGGAACTTTGGCTGAGATTCAGGCTCTGGCACAGAAGGTGGACTCCATCAAGGACAGAGTTGACAGATCAGCACGGATTGGGATAGATTAATTACGCCATTATTAGATCTAGAGGGGTTGAAGACCAACAGAACTCTAAGGCTGAGAGGAAATTATCTCTGTCTGTACCCAAAACAATTCTTATCTGAATCTGGTACCCTTGGAGCCTGTGAGGCTGAAGTGAAATCTCCCCCCTCAGAAGAAATGTGGAATGCTGCTGTTGCTATGGAAACCCTTTCAACCTATCCCAGCCTGGGCGGGACTGTGACCCTGAAGGCAGTGGAACCGTATATAGGAGTCAATGTGCTCTCTAACCCATTATCTCCCTCCCCTGTCCAAACGGAGGTGATGAGCGCTGCTCTTGCGGCTGCACGAACCGAAGTGAGGAGAGTCTCAACCCTACCTCCCCACCACACTTATGTTGTCTATCGTCTGAGCGCCTATCTGTCTGAGGTGTTTGTTTGTATAGCAAAGCTGCCCTCTCTGTCATGGGTAACTCTGAAGTGCGTTTTTCCCCTCCCCCTGACTCTATCCTCATATAAACCCTCTTGATTTATTACGGTAGCACGACTCGTGTTGCGAATGACCACAGTCACCAATTATTGTCATGTGTCTATGTTTGTATGTCTGATCTCAGAATTGTGTGTACTGAAACAATTGAATTTCCCTCTGGGATTAATAAAGTATTTTGAATTGAATAAAGGTAAACAATATTGTTTTCTCTCATATGGGAGAAATTTCTGGCTTACAGTATAATAATATTTTACAAGCTAACTGTCAGGTTAACACACAACAAGCAGTAATACAACAACTTCCAGAGGTAGTAGCGCGTCTCCTCAGGTAAACGGACGGTGACGGACTACGTCACCGTCCGTTTAACAGGAGCCTTCTGAGCTGAAGGTTCTGCTAGTGACAGCCTCATGTTGAAGTGTGTGTGTGTGTGTGTGTGTGTGTGTGTTGAGGACGGAGCGTACCTGGTGAGGGACAGCACCAAGCAGCAGTCCAACCAGCCATTCACTCTCATGGTCTTCTACCAGGACAAGGTCTTCAACATCCAGATCAGGCAGCAAAACCAGCAGTACCAGCTGGGAACCGGACTCAAAGCCCAGGAGGTGAAAACACACACACACACACACACACACACACACACACACACACACACACACACACACACGGCTGTCACTAGCAGAACCTACAGCTCAGAAGTTGTGATCCAGACCTCATTCTGGGTTCCTCCAGTAGGGGGCAGCACACTCAGATCCACTTTTTGTGTTTCCAGTGTTTCCCATCAGTCTGTGACATCATCAGCCATTACTCCCAGTCCCCTCTGGTCCTGATTGATGCCAAAAACCGCAGCTCGAGCCACCAGAACCAGTGTCTGCTCTCCGACCCGGCTGGGTACTACATGAAGAGGCAGAACTGGTCCTGATTAACGTGGCCACCAAACTAACCCAGAGGTGTTGCTCCGTTCGGTTCTGATTCCTGCCCTCTGGTTCTTCTGGGTTCTGAACGGATCTTTTCTGTGCTGAAGTGATTTGTTTTGCTTTTGAATGAAGGTGGTTTTCATCCTAAATCATATCAATCAAACTGTTTTTTTTTTCATGAGCTTGAAGACCTTTTATTTCTGGTTTGATTTCTTCTACATTTAGTTTACTATAAACGTTTGTTTTCCTGCTGATCTTTAATAAAACATCTGTTTCATCTTTTTTAGTTGTATGATTAATGCGTTTTTTAAAATTCAGGTCACTATCTAATAATACACCCAAGTTACACGTTTCATTATTACATTGAAGGGACAGAGAGGCAAGAAGATCTCCAACTGTCTGTCTCTGTGCGTTTGAACCAAATACCAGAATTTCTGTCTTATCTTGATTTAATTGTAAGAAATTTTCAGACATCCAGGCATCCATGTCCTTAATACGTTGTGTAAGAGAGTGAGGAGGAGCTGTATTACCAGAAGACAATGAAATATTAAATTGAAAGTCATCTGCATAATTATGATAATTAACACTGTGCCTTTGAACAATGTGCACAACAGGAAGCATATACAGATTAAATAATAGCGGACCAAGGATCGAGCCTTGAGGTACACAAGTAACCACCTGTTTTTTAGAGTTAAACCACCCGACACAGTGGAAAATATTTTTAAAAAAGATTGTTGGAATAGGACCCAGGCTGCAAGTGGGCGATTTTAGTTGTTTAATCAAGTTATCCAGTGCTTTATCATGTAAAAGCTTAAAGTGAGCCATAGTACAGAGTGTGGTACTGGAGTGCTGTTGTATGAGGTCATTATTGGATCTGGAAATATTCTGCCTAATGTTCAAAAGGTTATTAAAGTATGATGCAAATTCCTTGCATTTTGCTAAAGATGACATCTCAGTAGGAATACCAGAAGGATTGATAATCTTATTGACTGTCGTAAAAAGCACTTTACTATTGTTAATATTTTCATTTATAATTTTAGAAAAGAAGCGAATTCTGCTTTTTATTTCTTTATTGTACTCATAAAGTTGGTCTCTACAATTATCATAATGAATTAGAAGTTTAGATTTCCTCCGTAAGACTCTGATTTCGAGCCCTTTTCTCCAGGGGGGTTTCATCTTTTTTATTCATCTAGTTTGAAAAGGTGCAACTTGATCCATTACGTTTTCGTATTTTAAATTAAAATCCATCACTAGATCATCTGTTTGACCTTGTAGACGCAGGTTTTCCATTCTGTTATTGTCAAAATAATTTTTGACTTCCTGAGGGTTATGCAGCTGGGGAGGAACAGCTAAAGCATTAAAAAAATAAACAGTAATGGTGAGATACAGCCATATCTGTAATTATAGGTGCAGTAACATTAAGGTCATTTGATATAACCAAATACAACCAAATGTGTTGAAGCAGTTAAAAACGTTCTGCTTACCGGCCCTGCAGGCCCAGAGCTGCTCTACACTAATGCGTCCTCCTCAGAAATCTGTTTATCATCAGAAAGCCAATCTGCTGCCACCTGGTGGTTACACCATCAAACTGCAGCTCATGAGTTAACCCAGCTGGTCTCAGACCAGCCTCAACAGAACCAGTGTGGCTCACCAGACAAGCCTGTAAATTAGAGTAATAACAAAACAATAAAGCTTCGGTCAGAAAAGGTCAAACCAGATCTGGAACCACTTCCTGTTTTGAGGTAAATTTTAAAAACTACAGTTGGTTGAAACTGACGTTTAAGTTGGAAACCTAAAGACTAAACAAGCACTTTCAGATAAACTTACTTTTATTACAACTTCAAACAAACTTCAGTCGGATTATGTTCAAAGGTTTAATAGAATTAAAAAAGTCAGAATTTAAACAGGAAAACAGGCAGAAACAATCAAACTCAAATCTATCAGATCAATAAACAGTCCCAAGCGTCCTGCTGGCTCTGAGGTGACAGAGGCGTTCAGAGCTGCTCTCTGATTGGCTGCAGCTCAGAGCGGTTTGGGCAGGGAAGAAACTTCCTCCAAACACTCGTCGTAGGCATCCTGGTAGTCCTCGTGACGCTTGATCAGAATCACGCAGGTTGGCCGCTTCGAGCCAGCGGACGAGCCCAGATCCTGGAGGAGTTTCAAAATAAGGTTCAGAAACAACAATCGCAGATTTAAACACTTCCTGTATTCTAACCAATCAAAATCAGATGAGCTCAAATCCAGATCAGAATCGGCCGATCTTCACCACAACCGGTTTAATCTGTGATCCCAAAATCAAATGGTAACTGGTCTGTGTTTGTAAAACGCCTTCTTAGGGGTTTACAACCCCCCAAGGCATTTTACAACACAGTCATTCACCCATTCACACGCTAGTGGTGATGAGCTACGACGTAGCCACAGCTGCCCAGGGGCGGGGCCTGCTGAGCACAGGCGCCACCGGCCCCTCCCACCACGACCAGCAGGCAAGGTGGGTTAAGTGTCTTGCCCAAGGACACAACAGCAGCACTCTCTGGCTGGAGCCGGAATCGAACCTGCAACCTTCTGAGCTACTGCGGCCCCCCTAATTATTATAATTATATATCAGCTTTAGTCTGGGATGGACCCACATCATATATTAACACGCTGTCCTCTTTATGGTAAATAGCCTGAACTAGCTTACAGCTGCGACCATAACACACGTACTTTACACGTTCAATAGACGGCCCAAGGGCCAGAACCGGCCCATCAAGCATTTGGGACCGGCCCATTGTCTTCATAATTCTTGATAAATGGTTTTTCAAGTAGCAGTGTCGCGGTTATTAGCAGCCGACGGCTAAACCTCAATCGCGGCAGTTTACAACATTTTGTGACATTTTACGGCACGTTTTGGAGCGTAAGGGACCCGTCCGACAGGCCGGTGTCGCTGTTAAGCTCGTCAGTGCCCGTGAACGGCAGGTTTAAAAACAAGTCGCGCAGCTCCTGATGGAAAGTATATGACGACTTATAGCAGCAGTTTCTTGGAAAAAACACGTCACATTCAAAAGAGAAGAGACGTAAAATTGACACCGAAAATAGAAGATTTAACGACGAGTGGACTGATCAAAATGCTGAAGGGAAACCCATGTGCCTCGTCTGCCTCGTCATTTGCTCGGTAAAGAAAGAATACAACGTGCGGAGGCACTTCAAGACGAGTCACGCTAACTTTGACAATGAATATCCACCAGGCTCAGAGGCTCGACAGATAAAAGTAAAGACACCGAGCCAAAGCTATCAGCGAAGTTGTGTGCATTTCACCCGAACCTGCACGTTGCAGCAGAAAGCCACAACAGCACCTCTGCAAATCGCATGGATATTGACTAAAAATAAAAGAGCATTTACAGATGCTGAAACAGTGAAAGAATGCACACAAGCTGCTGTTGAGGAAGTGGAGACGGATGAAAACGTGAAAGAGCAAGTTATAACTTCGATTAGATCAGTTCCACTGTCCGATACAACCACTGCGAGAAGAGTGGATGCTTTAGGGATATGAGGAAGGCTGACTTCATATCCCTCGCTGTGGATGAATCAACGGGCAACTCGGATGTTGCTCAACTTTGTATGCTTGTGCGTTTTTATGATGGTCACCGTTTCAAAGAGGACATATTGGGATTAATACCACTTGAAGGGCATACAACCGGAGAAAGTCTTCCAGAAGATTGTGGATGTTTTTCGAGAGAACGGACAGGACTTGGAGTGTATCAAGCTGCTTGTTACAGATGGCGCGCCTTCGATGGCGGGGAAGATCAAAGGATTGTCCTTTGCGCACAATTAAGTGGTGAGTTGAAAAACATAACGGATTCTGTCATGGCTACAAGTAACTTTATCAGATCAACATCTGGTCTCCAACACGGACTGTTTCGCAAACTTCTTGTTAATATGTCAGCTGAGCATGCTGACCTACTTTTGCATATCAGTGTGAGGTGGTTAAGCCAGGGAAATGCACTCATGAGAGTCTGAACTGAGGAAAGAAATCATTACTTTTCTTCGTGAATGCAAGCAGAGGAAGGCTGAAACATTTCTGACCAACATGCTGGATGATAAATTTGTGTCTGAGATGTGTTTTTATGTGATATTTTTCATCATTTGAGTGTACTTAACCTGGGACTTCAAGGGAGAGATGAAACAGTTGCTGATGTGGTTGAAAGATGAACTATTTTTCAAAATAAACTAGACATGTTTTCATCCGATCTCAGTAGCAGACTGCTGCATTTTCCAACCCTCAGTGGCTTCATGAAGTCATCACAATGTGGTAAAGTCACAAAGGTCGTGTCAGACTTTCTGGACCGTTTGAAACACAACTTTGCTCAGAGATTCTGACTTTGACATTCCCAAAGAGTTGCTGCATGTCGCGAGGAACCCATTCACCAGCACGCCCAATACTTCCCCCAAAACAGCGGCGTTCCTGGAGTTACATGGCACTGATGAAGGTCCCCTGCGACTTGAAATGACTGAAATACTAGGGCTGGGGGTAAACGATTATTTTTAAAACGATTATTCTGGCGATTATTTTATCGAATAGTCGACTATTCTAATGACTATTTAGACAATTAATCTAATGATTATTTTTCTATTGCACAATTAACAAAAACCAGAAAATCTCAAATAAATTCCTCAAAAAAATTGATAAATTCTTACTGTAAGAGAATAAACACTACAGGCCTTCCATTTTGTATAACACTGCGTTTATTGTGTTGGTTGGTTATGTTCTGGTGACGTGTAGAACTTGGGAGTGCAGGCTGCTGCCTGAGAGCTGGTAGAAGATGGAGTGTCTCCATGCTGCTTTGTTTTGGTCACTTACGTGCGTGAGGCGAGTGGTGTTACGACTCTTCCTGGGGAGTTTGGCTCGTGTGCAAAAAGGAAGGGACAATAACGGGATTTAAAAGTTAAAATGATGATCAGGTTTATTTACAACTGCAAAAAAATCATAAATCTTTCCATCCACAGGTTGGGAATAATAAAACTAATTCTGCCTGTGGGGAATTAAAACAAAGTACAAATAAGTAGGGATCCAAACTCTAAACTGGGCGGTTAAACCAAACTCAAGGTGATATTTTACACTAAACCGAAAACCCACAACACTCTAAATGTAATAAAAGGGAGATCTACACCACAAAAAAGATGAACTCTAAACCAAAACGTAACAGCTTATCCCAACGCAAGAAGCTGTTAGCGAAAATGCTAACAGTAGCTTTACCAACGTTAAGTTCAAGTTACCAAGTTTAAATAAACCAAAAACACCCAGCAGCAAACAGACCAGCACGGAGGAGAGACTGTTACCACCAAAACAGCTCTCCTCATGTCTGAAAGAAGCTCCTTAATGAAGGGAGAAACGCTCCCGGTGATGTTCTACATCTGCGATAGACACGAAGCAGCGCATCTGACCCCGGAAGTTGTTGTCCGTTGCCGGGAGACGAAGGGGCAAAACAGGAAAATAATCTAGTAGTGGATGGACTTTGTTCCGGGTCTTCGGTATTTGGCGGAGATGTTAGTGAAGGCGGAGAAGAGGGCGAACTAGAGGAAAAACAGGCAGATTCCTCCTCTATTTACAAACTCCTGGGGATGCAACAAGTGGGCGCGGTGCGTCGACTTCCGGATCTGACGTCGACAAATTGTTAGAATCGAGCCGTCGACGTCGTCGAGGCTTCACTACAGCCCAAGGAAATACAGGCATCAGGGGAATTCAAAGATGTCCTTCAGGAAAAAGGCTGCGCCAAGCTTTGTCCCAGAGATGTTCCCAAACATGGAAAAACTGGCCATATGTGTCTTAACAATGTTTGGGTCAACACGCGAATCAGCCTTCTCTCACATGAACGCCATAAAAACAGAGAATCGAATGTCCTTGACAAAGGAGCATCTGCATCATTGTTTGCGGATCGCCGTCACCCCACACGAGCCTAACTTTTCTCATCTTGCCCAGTCAAGTGTCATTTTTCTCATTAGAGATCGATCAGTCTCCGGCAGTATGAGGACCAAACACACTATTGTTTCCTTTGATGTGCTTTAAAAGCCAGCAGTTTAATTTTGTTATTTTATTCAAAATGTAGATTGCTCTTATTTGCACAATTGCTCTTACCGTTTTAGTTTATGACTGTGATATTTCCACAAAAAATATGTTAGGTACTGCTACTGGGATTTCAGTCAAACTAAACCGTAGGGCTGTAGCGAAGCCTCGACGACGTCGACGGCTCGATTCTAAAAATTTGTCGACGTCAGATCCGGAAGTCGACGCACCGCGCCCACTTGTTGCATCCCCAGGAGTTTGTAAATAGAGGAGGAATCTGCCTGTTTTTCCTCTAGTTCGCCTTCTTCTCCGCCTTCATTAACATCTCCGCCAAATACCGAAGACCCGGAACAATGTCCGTCCACTACTAGATTCCTTTCCTGTTTTGCCCCTTCGTCTCCCGGCAACGGACAACAACTTCCGGGGTCAGATGCGCTGCTTCGTGTCTATCGCAGATGTAGAACATCACCGGGAGTGTTTCTCCCTTCATTAAGGAGCTTCTTTCAGACATGAGGAGAGCTGTTTTGGTGGTAGCAGTCTCTCCTCCGTGCTGGTCTGTTTGCTGCTGGGTGTTTTTGGTTTATTTAAACTTGGTAACTTGAACTTAACGTTGGTAAAGCTACTGTTAGCATCTTCGCTAACAGCTTCTTGCGTTGGGATAAGCTGTTACGTTTTGGTTTAAAGCTCATCTTTTTTGAGGTGCAGATCTCCCTTTTATTACATTTAGAGTGTTGTGGGTTTTCGGTTTAGTGTAAAATGTAAGACCACTCGCCTCACGCACATAAGTGACCAAAACAAAGCAGCGTGGAGACACTCCATCTTCTACCACCTCTCAGGCAGCAGCCTGCACTCCCAAGATCTACACGTCACCAGAACATAAACAACCAACACAATAAAAGCAGGGTTATACAAAATGGAAGGCCTGTAGTGTTTATTCTCTTACAGTAAGAATTTATCAATTTTTTTGAGGAATTTATTTGAGATTTTCTGGTTTTTGTTAATTGTGCAATAGAAAAATAATAATTAGATTAATTTTCTAAATAGTCATTAGAATAGTCGACTATTCGATAAAATAATCGTCAGAATAATCGTTTTAAAAATAATCGTTTACCCCCAGCCCTACTAAACCGGTTGTTTTCTACGCTTTACTAAGCACAGAGCAAGTGCTGTCACTATGAGTTGTTGACTCAGACTTTTCTTTCATTTATATGCTTTAAAAGCCAGTAGTTTAATTTTGTGATTTAATTGAAAGTTTTGTTTGTTCTTATTTGCATAAAAGACATTGTAATTATCGTTACTGTGTTCTTTATGTGACCGTGATTTCAGTCAAACTACAGCTGGTTATGTTTTCTTGGCTTTATTTTAAGCGAAAACAAGTACTGTAACTGAGTTTGTGACTCGGAGTTCTGTTAAAACCAGAGTTGGCTATGTTTTGCAGTTTCTATTATTTTCACTAAAAACCAGCAGTTAATCCTAATGTCATTTGACTTGTTTCAATAAAACTGTTGAAAATGCAGCGGCACTTTGTTTTAATAGGTAAATATGAGATACAGGGAAATGTACGGCCCGCTGGCAAAAGCCTCATGATAATTTGGCCCAACAAAAAATCTAACCGAGTAGCCCTGCGTTAAGAGCTGTACTCTGGCCCCATGCACGCGCGGGTTTCCTCCGGGTACTCCGGTTTCCCCCACAGATCACAACACGCCCTATAGGTTATAAATTGTAAGTCGCTTTGGATAAAAGCGTCTGCCAAATAAATAAACATAAACATACTTGTGACAAACGGGCAACTTTAAGGTCACGTGACCACCACTACTGCTCAGCAAAAACTACGTCCTCGAGACTGTAAACACCCAGACCCTGGAGCAGAACATGATAACAACATATAAATGATGAAAACTCAGCAACAGAGCTGAGGCGGACTTTCGGCATTGCCATGGAAACCTGTAAACACTCCAGCTATCCAGCTTTGATCAAACAGCTGGTGGCATGTTTTAGTTCTGATGTCTTTGTAGTCCTCGTAAATCTTCCTCTATCCAGATGAAGGACGAGGCTCTGTACCTTCTTCCATTCTCATTTATCTAGTATCGATTAACAGGGTCTGCCTGTGGGCCTTGCTTTAAATAGAGATGATTCCACTCGAGCATCGTTGGTGGTACGGAAGCATGGATTCATTATAGCGCTGATGTTCTGAGCTCACTACGTGGAACCCCCTCCCCCGGTGTAGATGGACCAGATATGCACACGGCCCTGATTTAGATCAAAACCGTTGGATCATATATACACATATATCATAATAGTACTAGTAATAGTAGTAATAATAATAGTAATAATAACGTTTAACACAATCAGAATCTAAAAACCACGACACCAGCCCTTTACCTCATAGAATGTGTGTTTTACTTGAAGTCAATGGTTAAAACTGACGTGTGAGAAATCTGAAATCCTGACAACACCTGCTGACCTTTGACCCCAGCTCCACTCACTCACCGTTTTAGAGGGCACGTAGGCGTACGGCAGGCTCCTGTCCTCACACATGATGGGCAGGTGACAGTACACGTCGATGGGCAGCGTGTCGCCCGCCAGGACCACGATGCTGCAGAGACCAGACCGGGTTCAGGTGAGCACAGGTGAGGTTCTAACGCGCGGATGACTACGGTGTCCTGAATGGTTCAATGCGCTAAAACTGAATAATGTTCACATTTAAATACATAAAAAAAATAATTAGTGCGGAACTTCTTCTGAGGGACAGAAAACAGTGACGGACCGGACCACTACAGTAATGGGGACTGAGGTTCTGGACGGACCCGGGCACCGTGAAGCTAACTCACCCTTTCTCTCCTTTCTTGATGAACTTCTGAACTTCTTTCACGCCCCTCCGGATGTTCTTCACCTTAGCAGCTGAAATCAAAACACCGGGTAAAGAAGCGGGACACAAGCACCGGTCTAACGGGTCTCGGTGGTCTTTTACCCTTTTTCACGCACTTGTAGAGCTTCTTGCTGAGCTTCCTGGAGGCCAGCGGCTGAGAGATCGGGTTCAGGTGGGAGACCAGCTCCTGGTAGGTCCTCTCGGAACCACCGGCCGATGCGACCGAATCATTTGGATCCGCGTTTTCCTTCCTCGTCTTCGTCATCTCTGATAATCAATAACCGATTGTTGCTTTCTGCTTTCACCCAGCACGCACGTGTTTTAACTCTTGTCCCGGACTAACAGGACCATTGGACCACAGCGCCCCCGGCGGCCAGGAGCGGAAATGTCGGCAAAGTCTACAGCAGGCCTGTAGACGCGCGCGCGCGTGTGTGTGTGTGTGTGTGTGTAGAAGAAGAAAGTATCATTTCTATAGCGCCTCTCAGGATGAAAATCACGAGGCGCTTCACAAAAACAAAAAGTGTAAAACATAAAAAAATAATTTAGAAAATGGTTAAAATATGTTTAAAATGAGCAAAAAATAGACAATTGTGATTAAAAAAATGTAAAGAAAGAGAGAGAGTGAATAGATAGGGAAAGATCCTGAGGAAGGTGGAATAGGTGGGGAGAGCAGAATAAAGAGAGTGGTGAAGAAGGTCACACAAAAGCCAGCCTGAACAAGGGCAACACCTCTGAAGATAAGAGTCAAGAGGTGCTTCACAAGAACAAAACTAAAACATGATTAAAAACACATAATAAATTGTGAAAATGGAAAATTTAACATAAAAATGAGAGGGAAGAAAGAAAATGAGTAAGAAGAGGTAGCAGCACCTGAACAGGTGAGCGTTCAGCTGCATTTTAAAGGAGACCACTGGATGTAAAACAGCTGGTGGTCTGTTTTAGTTCTGACATCTTTGTAGTCCTCAGAGACACAAATGTATGATTATTGCTCCGTCTGGGAGAAGAACGATGCTCTGTCCTCTTCTTCCATACTCATTTATCTGCAGTGATGTGACATTCACGAGCAAATCAAATCTTTTGGTTTTCAAAGTGAACAATGAGAGCCGAGTCTCTGTAGAGAGCCGTTCATCTTGTCTTCCAGTACCAAGCCTCCCCGGAGGTCGGCAAAGCGCACCCGCTCAACCCCCACCCAGCCCGTGACGGACGTGGACAGAACGCTACCCATCCCAACCACCGTGCGCCCTCACATAAAAACCTTTTCTTTGATCTCACTTCTGATTTAGTGGAATGTGTGTGAGAAAAATGTTACGAAGCATTTTAAAGATACAACAAATTCCACACAGCAATAATTATTATCTGTAAAATGTTGCTAGTTAACTCATTAAAGAGCAAGTCACCCCCTACCAGAGGCTTACTCCACTCCCACTTCCTGTTTGAAAAGTGCAACAAATGCTGTTGCCTGGCAGAGTGAGAGGGTGGAGCCGCTAACAAACACACACACACACAGGCTCACAACAGCATTGTGACATCATATAGTACCAGCTTATGTCATAGTGTACCTCAGTGTGTCCCAACCCTGGTCCTCAGGGACAACTGTCCTGGATGTTGTCCATGTCTCTGCTTCAGCACACCTGATTTACATCGGCTCTTCAGAAGGACATCAAGTGCTGCAGATGCCCGTTAATCACTGCTTCATTTAAAGGCCCCTTGTGTGAAATTCACAGAAATCATAGTAAAAAGATCCGACTCTTTAGCACCACGCAGTTTAGAGTCGGTATTGCAGCTATTGGAGCCCCCGAGGATCAAAAAGGGTTTTTTTAATCATTATTTAAAACTTTATTAACAAATATAACAAATACAATACAAAATCGTGTTGCTGTAAACGGCAGCATGTCATCATCTAATTCCAGCTTTCAAGTCAGCGAACAGGTTAGTTGTTTTCATCTAACTTATTTTATTAATTTAATCTAAATAGGTTTTGAATAAGAAAAACTTTTTTATGTCAGTTATGTTTGCTAATAGCAAACGGCAGCTAGTTAGTGATGACTTCAGACTACAAAAAATGACAATATTTTGTTCATTTTATTTGAGAAATGTTATATTTCTATTTGCCATTTTGGAAATATACAAGGTAGTGTAGTCTGTAATTGTTTTCTCTCCGTAAACAGAGTCAGATATCATCCGATGGTTCATCAGTGGAGACAGACAGAGGACGAGGGAGAGGGCGAGGAAGAGGGAGAGGACAGACGTGTGCCAGCGCACAGAGAGGCAGAGGTGTTAGACATGCGACAGAAGCAGGGCAAGCATCCCAAGATGAAGGAGCCGAATTTGCTCAAACCAGCCGCAACGTCCCACGCACAAGAGGAAGAGGCAGAGCTGCAATAACGTCTAGAAGATCGGCGCTTTCAAGCGCTTTCAAACTATCCCGTTTCTCAAGTTTGCTTGTAGAATATGTGTGATCCTCCATCGCTAGAAGTACGGTGTGGCTAGTTTCTTCTTCTTCTTAGTTACTTTGTCAGACTGCATGCTTACAAGGCGCACTTCTGCCCCCTGCTGTTTCTTTGAGGTTACATCATTTAAAAACGCAAACATCAAATGCGAAGCTTAATATGTTGTATGTCCCTAAAAGGTCACTGTATTTTAAGATGGCGCATGCCATATGGAGCACCGGTCTGCTTCTTTTGTCTAAAATATTAAAATATAAAGCTAATAATAATGCTTAGAATAAATGCTTGTTTGAATTATCATTAAAAAAAAAACAAATTTGAGAATGTGATACAAGAAATTTGATAACTTATAAGATGAAATATCACACATTGGGCCTTTAAGTCAGGTGTGTGGCAGCAGAGACACACTGGTGTGTGAAAGGACAACATGGAGAACATGCAGGACAGTGGTCCCTGAGGACCAAGTTTGGGAAACATTGGACCTCTTAGACAACAGCGATGGCAGATTTAAAGTTAAAGTCCCAAAGTCATCATCACACACTGGTGAAATTCATCTCCACACGTGACCCGTCCCCATGGAGAGGAGCAGTGAGCTGTAGCGGTGGCTGTGCTCGAGAACAGTTTGGTGGTTTAACCCCCCCCGATCCAACCCCTCAAAGCTGAGTGTGAAGCAGGGAGGTGCTGGGTCCCATTTTTAAAGCCTTTGGTACGACCCGATCGGAAATCAAACTCCCATCTCCAAGTCCCAGGGCAGACACCCCACCACTAGGCCACTGAGTGGCTTTAACCCTCTGGAGGCAGGTGTTGCAGATTAGCAACGTTAAAACCTACCTTCCCGGTTACTCCACATACTTATATCTTTCATGAGCATTTTTTTTAACTCAGAAGTTCCCCTGAAGGACTTAGTGTTCGTCCTTTTATCAAAACTTATTTTGAGCCTGAGAGGGTTAAATGATAGAAATTCAAATGCAGTGCAGAGTTCTTACCTGAAGGGGGCGCAACACTGACAGTTTTAGGTAGAACATTTTAATTTGAACTAAGATGCACTAAAGTCCCAAATTATTGACTACACGTCTACAGCCTGATAAAATATAAAATAAACAAAAGCAGCAATTCTATAAAAAAAACTAAGATCTGAATGAAAAAACAAACCAGTTTTATCTCGGACCTCCGATTTGACTCACAGTCACTAAAATCAGTAATAAAACACAAAAGATGTCAAATCTGATGTCATTAATGACCTTTGATCCTATCTCTGAGGTCACACTTCAGGCTGTGTTCACGTTAAATCACAAAGTTTCTGTCTGAAACTGAAGAAAACACTAAAAAAAAAACAAATCAGACAAAACAAAAGAGTAAAAACATCAAAATAAAAACCTATAGCACAAAGAGCCGAGTCACTTCTGGAGCAGTGATATCATGCTGATGACATCATCCTCAGCTGCTGAAGATGTCGCTCAGCACCGTTGGCAGCTGCCTCTCCTTCATCTCTGAGGCCATCTGACACCATACACACGGGAGACAGAAGGTGGAGCTCAGGCAATCCAAACACAGGTCACCCTGAAAGTAAACAAAAAAACAACAACAGAACTCACCCAGAGGGGTTTACTGTGAGACCTGTTCACACGTCCTTCATTCTGGTTCTATAGAACCTAAAAGTCCACAAGAGGTTCTGGTTGAATTTAGACTTTCATATAAAAACTTGTGATTTAATCGTCATTTCATTTAAAACTAAACAAATAGAACAAACCAAGACTTTGTTCACAGGATCAGATCCTGATGTCGAAAGCAGGATTCCTTCAGTTAGAATGCTGTTTGGGTTGGGTCAGCACCACTCTCATCCATAAATACCTCCACTGATAATTAGAGGCTCTGTGGAATCAGATCTGATTTCTACAGAATAATCAGAAATCAGGACCAAAGAATAAAAGCAGCTCCAGTTTCATCCTGATGGGTTTTCCTGCTGCAGTGAATTAAGATCTGATTCTTTTTTCTCATCCTTCTGGTGCTGAGAACTACGAGTTAATGAAAATAGTTCGGATCCAACATGGTTGTTACTTTGGATCAGAACCAGGACTCAGAAGGTTGTTTCATTAAACCCAATACTTAGCATGTGCTCCTCATGCATGTGTGGAGTTAGCACGTTCCCCTTGTGCGTGTGGACTTAGCGTGCTCTCCTTGTGCATGTGTGGAGTTAGCGTGTTCTCCTTGTGCATGTGTGGAGTTAGCGTGTTCTCCTTGTGCATGTGTGGAGTTAGCGTGTTCTCCTTGTGCATGTGTGGAGTTAGCGCGTTCTCCTTGTGCATGTGTGGAGTTAGCACGTTCCCCTTGTGCATGTGTGGAGTTAGCACGTTCCCCTTGTGCGTGTGGAGTTAGCGTGTTCTCCTTGTGCATGTGTGGAGTTAGCATGTTCCCCTTGTGCGTGTGGAGTTAGCGTGTTCTCCACATGCATGTGTGGAGTTAGCGTGTTCTCCACATGCTTGTGTGGAGTTAGCACCTTCTCCTCGTGCCTGTGTGGAATTAGGGTGTTCTCCTCGTACATGTGTGGAGTTAGCATGTTCCCCTTGTGCGTGTGGAGTTAGCGTATTCTCCACATGCATGTGTGGAGTTAGCACGTTCTCCTTGTGCATGTGTGGAGTTAGCATGTTCTCCACATGCATGTGTGGAGTTAGCACGTTCCCCTTGTGCATGTGTGGAGTTAGCGTGTTCTCCTCATGCTTGTGTGGAGTTAGCGTGTTCTCCACATGCATGTATGGAGTTAGCACGTTCCCCTTGTACATGTGTGGAGTTAGTGTGTTCTCCTCGTGCATGTGTGGAGTTAGAATGTTCTCCACATGCATGTGTGGAGTTAGCATGTTATCCTCGTGCATGTGTGGAGTTAGCACGTTATCCTCGTGCATGTGTGGAGTTAGCATGTTATCCTCGTGCATGTGTGGAGTTAGCGCGTTCTCCACATGCATGTGTGGAGTTAGCATGTTCTTCTCATGCATGTGTGGAGTTAGCACGTTCTTCTCATGCATGTGTGGAGTTGTTGTGTTCTCGTGCATGTGTGGAGTTAGCGTGTTCTCCACATGCATGTGTGGAGTTAGCACGTTCTTCTCATGCATATGTGGAGTTGGTGTGTTCTCCTTGTGCATGTGTGGAGTTAGCACGTTCTCCACATGCATGTGTGGCGTTAGCACGCTCTCCACATGCATGTGTGGAGTTAGCATGCTCTCCTCATGCATGTGTGGGGTTAGCATGTTCCCTTCATGCATGTGTGGAGTTAGCACGTTATCCTCGTGCATGTGTGGAGTTAGCACATTATCCTCGTCCATGTGTGGAGTTAGCACGTTGTCCTCGTGCATGTGTGGAGTTAGCACGTTATCCTCGTGCATGTGTGGAGTTAGCACGTTATCCTCGTGCATGTGTGGAGTTAGCACGTTATCCTCGTGCATGTGTGGAGTTAGCGCGTTCTCCACATGCATGTGTGGAGTTAGCATGTTCTTCTCATGCATGTGTGGAGTTAGCACGTTCTCCTCGTGCATGTGTGGAGTTAGCGCGTTCTCCACATGCATGTGTGGCGTTAGCACGCTCTCCACATGCATGTGTGGAGTTGGTGTGTTCTCCTCGTGCATGTGTGGAGTTAGCACGTTCTCCACATGCATGTGTGGAGTTAGCATGCTCTCCTCATGCATGTGTGGGGTTAGCATGTTCCCTTCATGCATGTGTGGAGTTAGCACGTTCTCCTTGTGCATGTGTGGAGTTAGCACGTTCTCCTTGTGCATGTGTGGAGTTAGCGTGTTCTCCTCGTGCATGTGTGGAGTTAGCACGTTCTCCTTGTGCATGTGTGGAGTTAGCGTGTTCTCCACATGCATATGTGGAGTTAGCACGTTCTCCTTGTGCATGTGTGGATTTATTGTGTTCTCCTCGTGCATGTGTGGAGTTAGCATGTTCTCCACATGCATGTGTGGATTTATTGTGTTCTCCTTGTGCATGTGTGGAATTAGCATTTTCTCCACATGCATGTGTGGAGTTAGCACATTCCCCTTGTGCATGTGTGGAGTTAGAGTGTTCTCCTCATGCATGTGTGGAGTTAGCGTGTTCTCCTCATGCATGTGTGGAGTTAGAGTGTTCTCCACATGCATGTGTGGAGTTAGCACGTTCTTCTCATGCATGTGTGGAGTTGTTGTGTTCTCCTCGTACATGTGTGGAGTTAGCACATTGTCCACATGCATGTGTGGAGTTAGCACGTTCTTCTCATGCATGTGTGGAGTTGTTGTGTTCTCCTCGTACATGTGTGGAGTTAGCACATTGTCCACATGCATGTGGAGTTAGCACATTGTCCACATGCATGTGTGGAGTTGGTGTGTTCTCCTCGTGCATGTGTGGAGTTAGCACATTGTCCACATGCATGTGGAGTTAGCACATTGTCCACATGCATGTGTGGAGTTAGCACGTTCTCCACATGTTTATGTTTATGTATTTAGCAGATGCTTTTGTCCAAAGCGACTTACAAGTGATAATCGGCATTTTGCCCTTGAGGCTAACAACAACAATAACAACAACAACATTGACATCAGTCATGGAGAGGAGGGAACAAGGAGTGGACAGCAGAGAGGGGGGGACGGGTGCAGGCAAGGTGCTAGTTAAGAAGATGCTCTCGGAAGAGCAGGGTCTTCAGGAGTTTCTTGAAAATTTAAAAGGAAGCTCCTGTTCTGGTAGTGCTTGGTAGGTCATTCCACATTTGTGGAACGATGCATGAGAAAAGTCTGGATTGTCCTGAGCGTGGTGTAGGCACTGCTAGCCGACAATCCTGTGATGACCGGAGCGGCCGGGCCGAGATGTAAGCCTTTGCAAGAGGATTCAGGTAGATGGGAGCCGTACCGTCTCGGACTTTGTATGCTAGTGTTAGCAATTTGAATTTGATGCATGCTGCTAGCGGTAGCCAGTGGAGCTCAATGAACAATGCATGTGGAGTTAGCACGTTCTCCACATGCATGTGTGGAGTCAGCACGTTCTCCACATGCATGTGTGGAGTCAGCACGTTCTCCACATGCATGTGTGGAGTCAGCACGTTCTCCACATGCATGTGTGGAGTTAGCACATTCTCCACATGCATGTGTGGAGTTGGTGTGTTCTCCTCGTGCATGTGTAGATTTAGCACGTTCTCCATATGCATGTGTGGAGTTAGCATGTTCTCCTCGTGCATGTGTGGAGTTAGCATGTTCCCCTCATGCATGTGTGGAGTTAGCATGTTCTCCTCGTGCATGTGTGGAGTTAGCTTGTTCTCCTCATTCATGTGTGGAGTTAGCATGTTCTCCTCGTGCATGTGTGGAGTTAGCATGTTCTCCTCGTGCATGTGTGGAGTTAGCTTGTTCTCCTCATTCATGTGTGGAGTTAGCATGTTCTCCTCGTGCATGTGTGGAGTTAGCATGTTCTCCTCGTGCATGTGTGGAGTTAGCTTGTTCTCCTCATTCATGTGTGGAGTTAGCATGTTCTCCTCGTGCATGTGTGGAGTTAGCTTGTTCTCCTCATTCATGTGTGGAGTTAGCATGTTCCCCTCATGCATGTGTGGAGTTAGCTTGTTCTCCTCATTCATGTGTGGAGTTAGCATGTTCTCCTCGTGCATGTGTGGAGTTAGCATGATCTCCTCGTGCATGTGTGGAGTTAGCAATCTGAGATTGGGATTAAAGTTTTGACTACAAGAATAAACATAAAAACTGTTTGAGTTTAAATTAGGAGATGAGATAATTAGTTGTAAACCCAAACCCAAACTCTGACCTGAGACCTGGACACACAGACTGTCCTCCAAAAGGTCCTGAGTTCTCCAGGAAGAGGTATGTTACCATGGTGACTGCCTTAGATCCAGATTAGTGTCCTTACTTTGATCCTGTATCGATGACGCATGGACACCCTGATGGACATGGTGATAGGATGGATACAACCAAATACGTCCAACAGAGGGAGACAGAGACACTGACCAAACTCCTTAGTGGTCTTACAGGCGAAACAGGGACAGCACCAGCACGCAAAGCAGCCTGGAGACACATGAAGAATATCACGGGAGTCCAAAGTGTGTCCCGGAAATTCTCATCTACACTGAACCAAAAATATAAACGCAACACTTTTTTGCATTTTTCATGAGCTGAACTCCAATATCTGAAACTTTGTCTACAAACACAAAACAGCGATGACTCTCACGTTGTTCTGAAATGTATCTACATGTGTTTTAGTGAGCACTTTTCCTTTACCAAGATAATCCATCCCACCTCACAGGTGTGGCACATCAATGGCCTGATGACAGCATGAATAATGTACAGGTGTGCCTTAGACCAGTGTTTCCCAACCATGGTCCTCAGGGACCACTGTCCTGCATGTTTTCCATGTTGCCCTTTCAAACACCAGTGTGTCTCTGCTGCCGCACACCTGACTTAAATGAATACGTGAATAACTGGTATCTGCAACACTTGATGTCCTCCTGAGGAGTCGATGTAAATCAGGTGTGAAGCAGAGACATGGAAACTTGTAGGACAGTGATCCCTGAGGACCAGGGGTGGGAAACACTGCCTTAGACTGCCCACAATAAAAGCACACCCTGACATGTGCAGTTTGATCAAACAGCACAATGCCACAGATGTCACAACCTTTGAGGGAGTGTGCAGTTGGCGTGCTGACTGCAGCAATGTCGTCAGAAAGGCGTTTCAGAGAATTTGTCAATACATCCAACCGGCCTCACAACCGCAGACCATGTGTGACCACACCAGCCCAGGACCTTCACATCCAGCATGTTCACCTCCAGGATCGCCTGAGACCAGCCACACAGACAGCTGCAGCAACAATCGGTTTGCATAACCAGAGAATTTCTGCTAAAACTGTCAGAAACCGTCTCAGGGAAGCTGACCTGCATGCTCGTCGTCCTCATCGGAGTCTGGACCTGACTGCAGTCCATCGTCGTAACTGACTTGAGTGGGCAAACCCTCACATTCGATGGCATTTGACATGTTGGAGAGGTGTTCTGTTCACAGACGAGTCCCGGTTTTCACTGTTTAGGGTAGATGACCGACTGGAGTCGTGTGGGTGAGCGGTGTGCTGATGTCAACGTTTTGGAACGAGTGGCCCATGGTGGCGGTGGGTACTGGTATGGGCAGGACTATGTTATGGACAACAAATGCAGGTGTATTTTATTGATGGCCTTTTGAATGCACAGAGGTACCGTGACGAGATCCTGAGGCCCATTGTTGTGCTGTTCATCCACGACCATCACCTCATGTTGCAGCATGATAATGCACGGCCCCATGTTACAAGGATCTGGACATGATTCCTGGAAGCTGAAAACATCCCAGTTTTTGCATGGCCAGCATCCTCACCAGACATGTCACCCATGGAGCATGTTTGGGATGCTCTGGATTGGCGTATACGACAGCGCGTTCCAGTTCCTGCCAATGTTCAGCATCTCCACACAACTCCTGAAGAGGAGTGGACCAATGTTCCACAGGCCACAGTCAACCTGATCATCTCTATGCCACAGAGATGTGTTGAGGCAAATGGTGGCCACACCAGATACTGACTGGTTTTCTGCCCCACCACCCCCATAAAGCTAAACTGTGCACATTCAGGGTGTCCTTTTATTGTGGGCAGTCTAAGACACACCTGTACATTATTCATGCTGTCATCAGCCCCTTGATATACCACACCTGTGAGGTGGGATGGATTATCTTAGTAAAGGAGAAGTGCTCACTAACAAACATGTAGACACATTTTCAGATGTTTGAGTTCAGATCATGAAAAATGCAAAAACAAAATTGTTGCGTTTATATTTTTGTTCAGTGTAGATGTCCAGATTTTAAACTAACCAGGTTAGTTACCTGTTAACTTTTACTAACAAGCAGATTCATGACTAAACCCAGCATCACTAAGGTCAGCTGGGAAATATAAAAACATCACAAAAATATCATTTTGAGGCTTTTGGAGTCAAATCTGGAAACATCTGAGTGGAACTCAGAACTCTGAGGGTTTCCAGACTGGAAGCTTCTGGTAACGTTCTGATCTACAACCTCAGGGAAGGAACCTGGGAGACTTACATTGTTTCATGTCGTGGCAGCAGTCACAGATCCCGTACGCCCACTCGGTTTCACCTGAGCAGGAGCCCATCGGCTCAGGTTGGGTCGACACCGTCCAGTTCATCCTCCACCGGACCTCAGGACAGCAGCTCTGAACTGTTCATTCAGACGAGAGGCTGAGCTCACCTGTAGAAGGCTGATCTGAGCTCCGATTGGAGGTAGGAACCGGACTAACCCGTTCACCTGGATGACTCATCTTATTCTGATGTCATCACATTCCTCACAAACACACCTTCATGATCAGAAACCGTCACGCCATCCCATCGTGAAGAAGCAGTTCCAGTTTTATGTATATGTTTATTTATTTAGCAACTTACAACTTATAACCTATAGGGCACGTTGTGATCTGTGGGGGACACCGGAGTACCCGGAGGAAACCCACGCATGCATGGGGAGAACACGCAACTCCACGCAGAAAGGCCGCAGTCGAGTTTCGAACCTGCAACCTTCGTGCTGCGGGGCAACAGAGCTAACAACTGCGCCACCATTGACCCGAGTCCGGCTTTCTGCTCTTCTTCTTCCATTTTATGTAGATTGGATTCATGCAGTTTATTTGGCTGGAACATTTGCCCTTTGACCCTTTACTCGTGATGCCACGCTACTCATGGGAACTAGAGGCCGACCGTGATGGGCTTTTTGAGGCTGATGTAGATTTTTAAAGCCGAATCTAGCTAACAGATGCTTATTTTAGCTTCTTCATTCAGAATCAACATGCGTTATGATTGGATAAAAGTGTTTGTTAACGTCCTGTTCTGGGAAATAAACAACCAGTAAAAATCTTCCTAAATTTAGTTTTATTTTTCCAAAACACTTTCCATAACATCCACTTCAATCCTGTCCAACCTATAAAATACGGCAAAGAACAAAACAATCCGTCTTTGTCTGCGTTTCGAGTCTGGAGCAGACCAACAACGACCGACCAGAACCTGGGTGCTGCTCACTCTGGACCTTCAGAGACCTGCTGCAGGTCACAGGTTCCTCCAGCAGAGGGAGACGAGAGCCAGCAGCTGCAGAGGAAGTGAGGTTTGTGGAGTTGATGTTTCTGATGGTCAGGAGTGCTCTGATTGGTCGATTCTCTGGGTGAGGCTGAGGTTAGTTCTGAGATCTTCCACAGCATCACGGTTCCGTCAGCACCTCCTTAAAGCTGCAGGTGGTGTGGAGTGGGCAGAGCTTCAAGGCTCAGGGGCAGGACTCGTAGTCACCTGGGTCAGCACCTCATAGACGTTCTCCACAACCGAGCTTCGATGGTGCAGCTGCCGGTTAGAGACGGTGGAACTCACCTGGACCTGCTGCTGAGGCCTGAGTCAGAACCACAACCACAGAAACATTCATTCTACCTTATTAAGAGAAAACCGGAGCACTGTGACTGGTCTGAAGCAGCTGAGATGATCTGTGGAGCTGTGTGTGTCTACTGGACCAGCAGGTGGGTCACCAGCAGGATGTGAGTCAGTCAGAAACCATCAAAGGGCGCAGAGCTGCTGCAGCGTGTTGTGATGCGGTGGAAAGCCCGTGACTTCCTGGGTGGCCGTCTGTTCTTTCTGGTGTCAGCAGAACATTTCTACCATGACCTTTCTAAAAGGCTGAGTCAGCAGAACGTCGGGTCCTGGTAGACTCGGTGGTTTTTCTCACCTCCCTTCTAAGCAACTATTTCTAGTAAGAATGACTCGGCTACAGATGTTAAAGGTGGAAGAACCCAAAGGACTGGAGGTTCGCTCAGACTGCAGATGCACTAATTACACTGTCACCATGGTAACGAATACATTAAGTTTGATGCTGAGTCATCATTTACCAGCCGAAAGGATGTCATTTGGATTCTTCCTCCTTCTGTGGCGGAATAATCAGAGGAATGAGAACGGAAACACTCACGTTCTGAGCGGCGTCCGGCGTCTGGCTGCAGACAGAAACATCAGAACATGTAACACCGCCGCTCCGCCATGCTGAGTCAGTTCTGACCCAGGTCCTGACCTTTAATCTCTGGTTAATCATGTTCCAGAAAGCAGGTTCTCTTTTACGAACCCCAGTTTAACTTCCCCTACATCGGTTGTACAAACGTCTGAAAACCCAAACCTGAGCCACTTACTGATGATGAAGGGTCCTGCTGCAGCGAGCAGAACCACCAACAGGAACAGAACACACTCCAGAACCACCGTCGTCCTGCTGAGTGAATGCTACACACACACGCACACACACACACACACGTCTCATTGTGACACCAGAGAAGTTTGTCAGACATCAAACGGACTGCAGGAACCGGCCTCACGGGATCTGGGTCCTCTCACCTCCACGGTCTGGTTCCTGTGTGAGGAATGGGTCAGGTAGTGCATGGAGGTCATGGGACCTGCAGAACAGGGAAGTGAAAGTGAACGTATTCAGAACATCTGCTTCAGCAGGATGATGTCAGAAGTGGAGCTGACGTCCATCAGCTGACTCACTCACACAAACACTCACTTATATGAAATCTGGAACTTGGCCACTTCCATCGGATCGTAGCTAACGGAAAAATGATCCAGGACCTTCTCTGAGCTTTAGACATTATTTCATGAGAAAATAATGTAGAGTTTGTCTGCTGGAGCTTCCCGTGAGGTTCCTTCATGCTAACGCTGTGAACGAGTGTGAGTACCTGCTGTCTGATCAGCTGTTATGGGCTCTGGTTCGGATGTTGGGGACGTGGTCGGATCTGGAGACGGGTCTGGAGCTGGAGAACACATGACATCATCATCAGGGAATAAAGCCACCCGATCCTGAAACCATAACTGAGACGTTGATGATGTCACAGCTGGTGTGATGTGTGTGCCAGCTGCAGCGCTAGACAGGAAACAGAAGTGGGCCCGTCCTGGTGTTGGACCAGGACTTTTGCTTCAATAGCAATGAAAGCACAGAACTTCATAACAACCAGAATCCTTTCTCACCTCTTTCAACAGCCAAGTCAAACTGACGTTTTTCATCATTGGCCCACCCCGGTATCTCCACCCTGCACCCGTATCTTCCAGCATCTTTCGTTGTCAGGTTCTGGATGGTCAGAGACACGTCTCCCTGGTCCAGTCGTCCCAGAAGCTGAAACCTGCTGGAGACTCGTTCAGTAACTTTATGTCCGTCTGTAGAGACGAGCAGATTGTTGCAGCCGCGGAGAGGCACGTCTCCTCGACCCCAGCAGACATGCAGAGCTCCATGTTGTTGTGTGTCGTAGTTACAGGTCAGAGTCACCTTCTGACCCGTCTGACCAACGACGGTCGCGCAGCTGCATCCAGTCGCTGCAGAGGCAGAACAACAGATTTGATCTAATAAGATAAAAACAATGTTTATTTTGTTTCCATGGTTACGACAGCCAGACAAACAGCATGTGACGTAAAAGAGAGCAACCCAAACCCCCGAGATCCGCTAACAAAGAATCTAGCTAACAGATGTTTATCTGTTTTCTGCCCAGCAACACTTTAATGTGTCGGACCTGAAACTGTCATCTTCAGTCAAGAAACTGGGAACACGTACCCAACGGTTTCAGACTGAGTACGTTTCATTTTCAGTACTCGCCGATGCCGAGTACCAACACGATTCCATTAGAAATGGTTGTTTTCATGAGAGGAGCCTTAAAGTCAACACGTTACGCTTTTGTAGAGCTAGCAGCATCGCTCTGAGAAGACTCTCACACAAGACAGCAGCACCAGTTTCAGGGAAGCCACCAAACCAAAAGCCATCTGGGTTGGACCATGATGCCCAGCCCGAGTCCGGCTTTCTGCTCTTCTTCTTCCATTTTATGTCGATTGGATTCATGCAGTTTATTTGGCTGGAAAATTTGCCCTTTGACCCTTTACTCGTGATGCCACGCTACTCATGGGAACTAGAGGCCGATCGATATGGGTTTTTTGAGGCCGATGTCGATTTTTAAAGCCGATCATATAAAAGTTTTAGCAGCACATTGATACGGTCAAATAACCTGAACTTGAATTTTAATTCTATGAAAAATAACATCACCAAAAAAAGAGAAACCGCAGCTATTTCTGACCATATCTCAGCCTTCTACTCACAACCGAAGAGAAGAAGCTTCTAGGACGAGAAGAAAACATCTTGAAGATAACCAGAGGTGTCCAGCTGTATTTCCTAGTACAGCTCAGGATGATCACGTCCAGGATGATGGAGGACCTACACCTGATGGTCAAACTTAAATGTAGCTGCTGTCAGCAACAACCTAACAGATTTAAAACATGTAAACAGACTAAATAATCTCAACTCGGCCAAATCGGGAAAGAATCCTCTTTTGAAACATCTCTTTTGACATACAGTCAACCTGTTTGCTGACACAGCCAGACGGCTCCTTAAGATGCACGTCCACTTTGGACGCAGACAAGCATTCCAGCTACTGTTGTGACCTGGAGACATCTCAAGACTGGACGGGTCATATCGGAGTTTAATCTACGAAATCCCGGTGCCGTGAGGCCCACCCGACTTCTGACCGTCCGGATCTGCTGGGGGTCTCCGCCACGGTTTGTAGACACAACAGATGGCATCTGATGCTGTTTTATTAATAATCAACTCTCTAGTTTATAGCAGACAACAAATTCTTTTACACCCATAATTCATAATTTCTTTCAGATACAAAGATTCTGATAAACATCTAGCTTACATCACACCACCTACACACCACACTCCATTACCGCATATCCACTCCATCACATCTCATTATTCATATCTTGTCACGTATAATCATTAGTTTAGAAAAGAATAAAATTCCTTTTTAACTACATACCTGACTCTGAATTAATACGAAGTGTGTTTATGGTCCCTGAACAAGTAAAAGTAACTATAATCTTCTGATTAAACATTCAAAGATCAGTCAGGTTGATATTTCATATTTACACAGAATCATCACATCTTATTGGTCATAATTAAATTGCAGTTGTCACGCTATCAATTGTGACCGCTAAACAAAGAAACGCACATAGTATCGGACCGATACCGGTATCGGTGCATTCCTTGGAACAAGCTGAAGGCTCTAAAACCTTCAGTAAACAGAAATATCACAGCTGTAGTAAAACTAGGGTCGGCGGCTAAATCTGCTCATGGAGCCATTTTCCTGTGTTTAACTCAAACTTTTAAAAATCATGAAACACAAACAAAGAGAATCTGAGCTTTAGTAAACTCCAATAAACACAAAGGAACAACGTGTAAACGTAGGAGGAGTACCCGAGAGCAGCAGAACGGTCTTCATGTCTGACAGACCGCTGAGAAAACACACACACACACACGCGCGCACACACACACACACCACTAAAACCTCTCGCTTGTCTAAGAGGAAGTTATTACTTGTAAGGGAGGAAGGCTTCAGACCCAGAACGAAAGCTCACCGTCATCACTTAATGCTGCATGAAGAATAACATCTGGAAACAGCTGCAGGCTCATTTTACTCATCGGGCAGAGGTGGGGACACCTGGACATGTCTTCAGTCCATCACAGAGACAAACAACCAGTCACTCACACCTCCAGGTAACCTGACACACATGTGCTTACACAACCGTTCGACTGTTTCTACGTTCTCGTCTGATCCAGCCCTAGTTCAGGCCAGATGAACACCAGACTGATCACCAAAGACATGTTTTAATAGGCCTTCCGGTTAGAGGATCAAACGCGGTCTCCTGGGAGACAGGAGGGGATTCTCACCACATGTTCAAATAAACTTTCAGAACATCAAAGCATTTGTTGAGTTAAATATTCCAAACGATGCTTTTGTTTCATGCTATACAGGCTAAGTAGATACAGCTCTCAGGAGAGCGTCTGAGAGCGCTTTATAAAACGTATTACTGTTATTATTATAATAGACTCAAACGTGTGTGAGAATCGCCAGTAAAGGCAGAATCTGCTGATTAAAGTAAACAGATGATTATTGGTGTTTTGTCACCCCCTGGTGGCCAGAGGAAAGCAGCAGCGATCCTGTCAGCTTTTTAAAGGGAAACTTTGCAACTTTTTCATATTTTTAAATACCGTAAATCCTCCAATACAGGCCCGGGCCTGTATTTGACTCAAGCTCATCAAGCTCCAGGCCTTTATTGGAAGGAGGGCCAGTATTAGAGGCAGGCCTCTATTTCTATTTGAGCAAAATGAACTAATGGTTCGCTGGAGTTTTTGACAATTAAAAGTGCGCCCACATTTTCAAAGTTAAACATTTCTTTTAACAACGGTAGTTCCTGCTTCAGCCCTCTCCCCCGTCCCCCTGCGCAGCTGCCGCAAACTCACTGATGTGCCTGCAGCCTCTCGGAGTTCCTGCTGCTCTAAACATTAAAATAATTATTTCATTTTCTGTTCCTCACTTCTGATGACCTTCAATGGTGTCTGTTTGTTGCAACCACCAGGTACAAAAACTAACTTGTTTTTATTTGACTATTTTTCTGTCCTGCCTGTTTATTATCGTCCTGCATCTCCTCTCAATCCTAAAGAGAAACTGCTACCTGGGTTCATATATATTCACCTCATGAGTTACCTTTGAACTGCAGTTCTAAAAGATCTACCGACCGCAAAAACAGCGGAGCGCTTGCTGTTTGGCGGCTGTATCAGTGATCAGTGCGTCGGAGGACAAGGTGATGCCCGCAGCGTCCCGCTCCACAGCATGCAGCGAAACACATCAGGCGCAAATAAAAGACAGAAAACATTAAAGGAAATGAACTGACATGAACGATCGCGTGTTAAATTAATTTTTGAGGTGGCGACACCTGATTGTTCCTGTGGTCGTGCTCAGGAGGCAGATCTACCGACCGCGAAAACAGCTGAGCGCTCCCTGCTGTGATCTGTGCTTTGGAGGACAAGTTGATGCGCCCCGCTCCACAGCAGCGATACACATCAGGCGCAAATAAAAGACAGAAAACATTAAAGGAAATGAACCGACATGAACGATCGCGTGTCAGTACCTACGGTCTGGCACTTGAGTTTTACCCCCAAAAAGAGAATGTGATCATACGATAATTCAATAGGGAGCGTGGTTTCACAGACGCGGAAGTGATAGCGTCGGTGAAACGCCGGCTGCTCTAGGAAACCCCCGAGCGTTCGAGCGTCAACGAAGTGACACGGAAATGCCGGGCTTTCCAGAAGTAAGTAAGATAACTTACTATGAGCTGATAGTTCGTTGGATTGATCGGTAGGTTGGAAACTCTGATCGTGAATCTGAAGAAACGATGACTGAGTGGTGAGCTGGAAAGGCGACTTCCGTTTATAGCCGCGGTTTGTGACGTAGGTGTGACGTGAAGGGAATCCCCGCGAGGGGCATGCTGGGAGTCCCTACTTCGCAGATTTTCATCTATCGCGGCCAGGTCTGGAACGCATCTACCGCGATAAACGAGGGATTACTGTAGTTCATACACCCCCTACTGCTGCTCTCCAGAGTGTTCTGCAGCATAATCAGCACGTTCTCTTTGAACTTGATAGTGTTATGACCTGGCTGGGGTTGTAAGCCAGGTGCATTCTGGGTATTGTGTTATATGTGTTTCCTATCGTTCTGCTAGTTCCTATGTGCTGATTTGCGTGTTGTGTGAGTGTAAGCCACAGGGAAGGTGATGTGTGTTCTGTGGAGCTGGTTGAACTAGCATGGTTAACTGACACCGTGACTCTGTGTGGTAGGAGCGTGATAGAGGATCGTGTCTGTAGCGTCTCAAAGCGTTGAAGAAAAGGCCTAATAAAGGTCTGCGTGAACTTCTACTGCCTCCTGCTGGTTGATTTGGGGACTATAACCCTGCCGCTGGGACTCTCGTACTTGCTTGTTACCACATGCCATCCGGCCACAATAAGAGACCGGCCATTATTTACCTCTGCTGACTCAGACACCGGCCAGAATTGGAGACCCGGCCTTTAATTGAATACCGGCCTGTATTAGAGGATTTACGGTAATTTTCTTGAGCCAGTTTGTGCTAAAATAGCCATTTACAGGGTTACTGAAAGGCCACCCAGCTTTTATCGCCCCTGTGGCCAGAATATTCCACTTGCAACTTCAGACTGGCGGGCCGCTCTTTTGGACTGGCATAACTGGTGCTGCAGTCTGCTTCCAGCACATTTCCTGCATGTTTCAGATCAGGAACACAGCTGATTTGTTTAATTTGATGATGAATCACTCCTGTAGACACCAATGAAGGCTGGGAGACGCTTCAGCTGTTGGACTAAGTTTTTTCCAATCATTTACGCTTTTTAAAAGCATGCCCCATATTGTCAGAACTCTACACACACACACACACACACACACACACACACACACACACACACACACACACACACACACACACACACACACACACACACACACACACACACACACACACTGGTGAGGACTCATCACTGTCAGCTCTTGCTGCTGCAACATATCTGGAGACAAATTTCATGTATTCACAGATTTTTCTGCTTGAGTGATAAAACATGAATGTTCATGAATAAATGTCAGATGTGATCAGTGTGAGGTATTTCTGAGTGGTTAGTGTTACACCTACACCAGTTCTCACATCTTCTCTGAAGACCGTGTTTGGGTTGAACTCGGCTCACTTCCTGTAGCGGATTCCTTGTGTCGGGTTTTCGTTCACCACAGCCAGGAAGTTCCTCTCCAGAAAGTCACATGAACACATGATTGTGCTGCTGAAGGAGTTTTATTTGGTTCAAAAGACACAGATGGTTGTTGCCAACATGAAGCTTCTGTAGCTCAGCCACATCTGCCACATCAGCATACCCCCGAGCCTGAGTAATCAGATTACTGCCACAGAGCTGGGTATTTCTAGAGGAAAATTTCATAGTTACAGGCTTAATCAGGTTCCCGAGGAACTGTTCTGAAGGAACCACAAAGGGATTTCAGTTTCATGATTTCATGATTCCAGGGAATCATTTGTCCTGAGTCTGTTGAGGAGATCGGATTTGGCCCCTTGGAGGAGTGGGGCCGTGATGTGCTGCTCGTGGTGCGGTGCAGGTAGGAGTTTCCGGGTTTTCTTTATTTGGGCGATGTGACGGTATTTAATGTTTAACGTTGGGCTTGGCAGGCTTTGAAGACGTATCGGTTCTCCCCATTTGGGGGTGAGGAGTTGAGAGGCACGGCATCGGCGTGGTTCGTGTTTGTTTGTTGCTGCCATGCATGTTTCCTCCTTTTAACATTCTGATGTTTGTTTTGTGTTGCAGGAGAGAACTAGCACTCAGCCATCGCGCATCTCGTCAAATTCCGGAGGGTTGCTGCTTTGCCGTGATTTCTGGGTTGTATCCCGAGTTAATGAGATGAAGGCGTGCATCTATGCATCTATGCAGCCCTGTTTACAAATGATCTTTGTGGAGGAGGTGACATCCCCTGCACACAGTTTGGGACAAGCTCAGTTGATGGTACGGTGACTGACTACGAGGGGAGCCGCGGGTTAATCCCTCCGTTCCAACCCTGCTCTCGGAACAAAAGAAATGAAAGGCTGAATGGGCCAGTGTTACCCGGAGGGAGGAAGTTTAAGGGTTTAAATGCATGTGGGATGGATAAGTCACAAGAGTCTTGTGTGTGTGTGTGTGTGCGCATGCGTGTGGGTGTGTTCGTGTAAGCGTGAAGTGAAAGACAATGAGTGTGGGGTGTTTGTGTTCTGTGTTTAGTGTTTTACCAGTTGGAGACGGGCTGAATCTGTTATGCTGAGCTGTCAGCACGGAGTTGTGCGTGTGTTCGCACCGGGGGGGGGGGGGGGGGGGGGGGGGGTCGCCAGTTCGTGATGGGTCTGCTCCTGTCTCCGACAGGTCTCCAACTGCAGTTCTAGCCTGTTAGCGGCTGGTGATTTGTATTCTCTTATGCAATATTATCTACTATGACATTTGTAATAAATCTGAGTTCTTTCATACATTTCCATGACTCCAATTTCCTTGGGCAATAATGGACCTGCGTGCTTTGTTAATATAGGACTTTGTCACATTTTGGCATTGTTGGCAGAATATTGCCCTAAGGAGCGGGACTGTGATTAATCTACTTTGCTTTTTTTTTTCTCTCTTCTTGCATTTGTACATCTGTTGAGGCAAAGCAACCGCTCCTGGGGGAGTTTTGTGTGTGTTTGTTTCAGATATGGTGGAGGATTTACAGAAATTACGTGATTTGGTGGCCCAGTTGCAGAGTGAAAATGCCCGACTGAAGCAGGAGCAGGCCTCGGTTCCCCTGGCAGTCCCTTCTACTGCGTCTGCTGCCACCCCTGATCTTTCCACTGCTGTTCCTACGGTCTCTTCATACGGTACAGTCGGTGCATTGGTAACTGAACGGCAGAGGTAGAAAGACTACTAAAATTTCCTACTTAAGTACGAGTACCAATACTTTGATAATTTTTTACTCAATTACAAGTAAAAGTACTTGCCTAAATTTTTACTTAAGTAAAAGTAAAAAGTATAGTAAACAAAATGTACTCAAAGTAAAAGTTACTTAGTTACATTTTTGTCAGCGTAAGGATGGCTACATCTAAGTAGTGCTAAATCACAACACCAGTTCACAATTCGCTCGTGTGTGTGCGCGCACACACACACACACACACACACACGCTCAGCTTGAAGGAGGGATTTCTATCCAATCAGTGAGAACAGGACGTGCACATTGATTGGACGAGGTTTTTCTAGGATGGTAAGTTTCAATTGTGGTTAAAATTATTCTTTATTTTGAGAAAAAATAATTTTTTAAGATGCCATCAGCGTGTGAGGTATCTCAGTGTTTTCATGACAAAACTCTAACATGAGACTGTGCTCTAACCTGTCACATAACAAGCCTAATGCAGTCAAACATTTCAGATGGCTGCTAACGTGCTAACGTTGGCCCTGCCCTACTTTACCTCTACAGTACAGTTCCTTTATCCATGTCCATCCTAGAGCTCCTCTCTGACCTTCGTGCTTATTTAGAGCAGCTGATTTTTTAAGCTAGCAGAGTTCATCCTTGGTAGTGGGTTCACTCACTCATTTAACCCTTCACCACCTAGACTGTATATGTACAGTCTATGTTCACCACTGAAATCAGTTTGTTCATTCCAATCCTCCTAAAAAAATCCTCCAATCGTCCAACTGGAATCCTTAAGGGTCCCGTAACGTCCATCCTGTCAGAACAGGCCTTGGGAGCCCAGGTGTTACTAGAACTAATGGTGACTCCTCACCAGCGTGAGCCTCCAAACTGTTAAGGTTCGTCTCCAAACATTAACTTTAAATTCATGCATTCATCTCCTCTTGTAACACTTAAACATGTTTTAAAAGACTTGTATCATTATAAGTTACACCTCCCAGACCAAAGATAAGATAAAACATTATCATAAACACTGCAGAGACGTCATTATTTATGAAATAGAAGTTATTTTCCTGAGCCGTTACTTCAGCCAAGATATAGGACTGCATGGATTTGATGAAACTATGCTGTCTCACACACACACACACACACACACACACACACACACACACACACACACACACACACACACACACACACACACACACACACACACACACACACACACACACACACACACACTGCATGTTAGAATCTTTTGAATGACTTAATAATTAATAATTAATTAATTAATTAATTACTATTAATAATTAATTAATACTTTAATCTCTTATTCTGGAGTAAAATAAAGAAACAAGCTAAATCATCACATATCTGTGGCATCAAGGAGCATCTTCTGAGTTCAAACACAGGGATGGAGCACAATGTTTACACCTGAACAGCATCAGGATGTTTTAACTCACAGAGGCCTGCAGGTCTTCTGTTTTATGAGCAGAGCGCTGAGAATCCGCTTGTTAGGAGCGCTAAACGTTATTTTGCCGCTGCCGTGCGGAGCGGTAGAGAAACACATTTCAAACACGGAACCGAGTCCGGCTACCGAACCGAGCAGATTTCTGATGACGTCACACCGGTGCGCGAAGGTGCGGGATCCAACCCACAGGAGAGGAGGGAGAGAGGAGGTAAACAGCGAGTTGAGGAACTGAACCGATGTCTTTGAGCTAAAGTGTACCCCCCCCCCCCACACACACACACAGTTTAGACGCGGCGCTCATGCAGGTGTCTCTTTCTGTTCCAACGCTGCTACACGTAATATTTTTAATTTATTAAGCCTATAATTTATTTTTACTCAGTAACGGTTATGATTTAAAATGTAGCGAATTACAATTCTTTTTTTAAAAACTTACTCAAGTAAAAGTAAAAGTACAGCTTTTAAAAACGACTTAAAAAGTATAAATTTACACAAAAGCTACTCAATTACAGTAACGTGAGTAAATGTAATTTGTTACTTTCCACCTCTGCTGAACGGTTAGTTTTTGTGCCTCGGGATAAGCGGTGTCCGATGCTTAGAGGCCGGACAGGCATTAGCTTGACAGAATGGCTGAGTAAGGTGCAGTCATGCAAGAGAGCACGACATTTGGGTACTGTTGACCAGGCGTTTTTCCTATTTGATGATTTGGAGGGGGAAGCTCGGGAAGAAATTAAATACCGGTCCGAGGCGGAGTGAACCGATCCAGCCAAGATAATCGCGGCTCTGGAGGAGATATATGGATGTTTGGACTCCTACATAGTGTTACAGGAGGCATTCTTCTCCCGGAAACAGCAGGAGGGGTAAACACTGCTGGAGCTTTCCCTCTCCCTTGTGGGGTTAATGGACAGGGTTAAACAAAGTGCCCCGAATTTGCGGGATACGAATGTTATGTTAGGGGACCAATTTGTTGAGCAGGTTTTGGATGGCGGGCTTCGGCGGGAATAAAAAAAAACTGGTTTGTCGTCAGCCTGGCCTCGGGTTGCTTGATGTCCGGAGCGAGGCCATGAGGTGGGAACATGAAGGGCTGCCGGCTGGGGGTCGGGCCCCTTGTGGTACAGCTTCCCTGAGTTTCCAGTGTGGAGTGCAGGGTGACACTCAGTTTAATGGCGCTGCTCTGGTGGCTGAGCTCGGTGGGGTTAAAGAACTTTTAAAACGCCAACAAGAACAGCTAGACGGCCTGGCCCAGGTGGTTTCCCAGTTACAGGATTATCGGGGCCCATTGGGGCCTGTACATCGTCCTCCTTTTGCCAGTTTGATATTTAGGTGTTGCCAACAGCCAGGGCACTATGCCAGCGAGTGTGGCGGCGTCCTTGCTCCACAGCCGCAGCCAAGGGCGGAAGCCCCGCCTCACCCAGGGCCGGAAAACTAGCGCCCACTGGACTGAAGGGCCATAGTCAAGTG